GGTCCTTCCTCCCAGAAGTCTGGGCACTGCATTGCACAATTCTGGCCAAGAACTTTAGACCTGGACACACTCTAAGAGACGCTTGCCACTGACACCGTTCCTCCTGTATTTATTCAGTACGTGGGGGTTTTCAATAAATGTTTTTTTTAACAGATGTTTCCGTTGCAAGACTGTTGTTTTAACATTGATGAAGACATGACTGTCTGGGCCAGTTTCCGTTGACATGGCAGGTAGCATGGGAACAAAGTCACCCTGCCAGCCCTCCTTTTTTGTATTATATTGCAGAATTGCAGTTGGCAATAGAACGTATATATAGTAGCAGAATCAACTTACTGACTTGAGTTTGTCATACTTTCCAAAGAAACTGAAATTATAGCATCATCTCTCCGGTCATTTGCAAGAGGAGAAGGAGGCAGGAGAAAGACTCCTCACTACATTTTCCATTTTGCACAATTGTGAACTATGCAAAGGCATTACTTGCTTTAAAAACAGTACATTAAAATCACTCAAAGAGTAAAAAATTAGACATTGAACAACATAAAACTCTGAGAAACAAAAAGTGGTGATGTCTGGTCTTACCCTGCAGGCTACAGGGCCTTGCCCTGATGGACTGGAGCAAAGGGGATGGTTTGTAAGGCTGGGCGGCTGCATCTGCAGGGCTCCCAGCACTGGGCGGCACTTGGGGCCATGGGTCTGCTTCCTAAGGAATGATGTGCACACAGCCTCCGAGCATGCTGCCTCTGCTGGGTCAGTCCTAATTTCAAACACGGGGTTCCATGTGGCCATAGTTTGCCATTATTTCTTCAGGCTGCATGCTCTGGATTTTGTTCAGAAAGTGTAGTCTGTGTTGAAGTCAACCAAGACCAAATAGGAAGCAGGTTAAGGGACCCAGAACTAGGGTGATGGATCAAGAACTGAAATAAAGGGCCCATCAGGTGACTTTGGGTGCCTAGAACTTAGAGAAGGTCATTACTGCTAGTGTGTCTTTAAATTTGTGAGTTTAAATTTGAAAGGAACTGCTGGTTCTCGCCTACCTATCAGAGCCCTCCATGGAATGCCCCCCCACCCCCACCCCAGCCCATTGGTCCTCGGCCCCTCCCCCGCTGCAGAAGGTCTGGAGCCCTACATTCTACAGTTCAAATCCAAACCTTCCCTCCACTGGATGCTGAGCAGCTGTTGGAGCAGCTCACTCTCTGGATTCTCCACTTGACTTTTCTCATTGTGGAGGCTACTAGGCAGCAGTGGTCAGTGAATGAGCCTGCGGGGATGGCTTCAGTAGGAGGTAAGACTATAGATTGGAGGGGGATGTTTTAAACACTGAGATGTCCCTCAAAACTTGGGGTTAAACTGTGACACTGGGGAAACACGGTTTGACTGAAGTAGGGGAGGGAGCGAGCACTGGACCTCCAAGGACCTGTCACCCAGGGAGACTGGGACCCATGGGAACCTGTGAGGGCACTGGCAGGAGGGCTCCTAGAGGTGGGTCAGGGTGGCTCAGGGAAATGCCTGGGTGTGGAGAAAGGACGGCAGCAGGCACATGGGTTCTTCCCAGAGGGGAGACAAGCCACTGCCACGTGTGTGGGGAGGAGTGGGCGATGTCGTGGGGGTCGCACAGGGAGGGTCACGGGAAAGCCTAGTCCTGTGTGCTGTTCTTCGGGCAGCTGGAGCTTGCCCCACAGTATCTTTCTAAGGGACTTGACCTGAGTTCACTAGAGCTAATGGGGGCTGTGGGAGGGTCTTAGCCAGAAAGCTGTCCAGTGGGGCTGTCTGTGGCCAAGTCCACAATGAAATGTCCTTCCTGAGGGCTGGGCTGGAAGGTCCTCCAACTGCTGGAGCGCAGAGCTTCTCCCCTCCTTCTGGCCCCAGAGCTCACTCCTCCTCAGCCCAGGGAGCTGCTTGTTGGCTTGGATTCCACAGGGGCATGGCGGCCCGCCTCCCTGAGCTGTCCCGAATCATTCACCCTGTGGCCACCCAGGAATTCAGACCTACTTTCTCTTGTCCTGTATCTCATGGTGCACCCTCTGCCCTGCCCTTTACCTTTGAGATGAGGGGTTTGCTCAGAGTCCATGTCCCTGCTTCAGGGACAGAAAACAGATGTGGAGCCTGGGTGGTGTCCGTGGAACATCTGTGAAGGCAGATTCCTTTATAAAGGGGGAAGGGGAGTGAACAGGGGCAGGAAGACCACAGTCTGTGTCAGTAGTAAACGTCCGAGGCCGCCTGTCCTGAGGAATTAGGGGCACGTGGTGTGCAGCGTGCTCTCCTGGACTAGGTCTGCTTGAGTTCCTCTGAGCGGGGACGTGTTCAGACAACTGTGTCCCACAGTCACCGGCTCACACCTGCTTTCTACTGGGCATTCACTTTCCACTGTTGGGAGCTGGAAGGGGAAGGACCTCACACAGTCTGCAGTCCCATGACCCATCTAACAGGACAGCAGCTATGGAAGTTTCTGGAAACCCCTACCAACAGCCCCACTTTGCCGCATTCCTTGGCCTTTCTGTAACCCTCTGTAGCCAATGCTGGCTGTGAAATGACAAGCTCCTGAGGAGCCATTAGTCTGAGCGCTGGGGCCGAGTGGCAGGACCTGGCCCATGTTGGGTGTTCACTGTTGGTTCTGACACACATGTGCATGCTGGTCAGTGCGTTCAAGGGTCAGATCAGGGTCCCTGTGCCTTCTTGTGGGGAGACATTACTCAAGGGTTTCTGTGTTGTTGTGCAAGCCCAGGACAGAAAAGGGGTGATTTATATTGAGTAAAAGGAAGACTGAGGAGCAGATGGGGCCCTAATATTTTAGACACGGCCTGTTCTCAGAGGCCCTTTGGGTGCCTAGAGCTTACCTTGGAGAAGGTTACTACCGGAGTGGGTCTGCCTGGGGTCGTTGCCCCCAAAGCAGACAGCTGCCAGGGCCAGGCATGAGGCTGGCAGGGTCGGTACCAGGGAATCCTTAGGGCGGCTCTCAGGGTCAGCACTGGCTGGGGCCGTTTCTTCTCGCAGACCGTGCTCAGGGAGCCTTGGCGATGGGGAGCAAGCTCTCCAGTGGAGTAATTCCCAACTGGAAGTCACAGTGTGACAATGACCTGAGGACATGTGCCACAGCCGCAGTTTGTCCATCCCAATGGCCCTGCCCTGGGAGACTCACTGCTCTGATTCCCAGTGGCTACAGGGGGCCCAGAGCGCCTCAGTGCTGTTTGCTGGTTCTCCTCCTCCCTTCACCCTTTCCTTTGTCTCAACAGCATCTGCAGTGCTGGGAGCGGATGTGACCCTGAAGCCCAGTGCCTCCATGACTTCTTTTATGGCACGGCACTTTCCCCAGCCCACTACTGGCCCCACCCACCGGCCACCCTGGGAGCAGCACTTGCCGCCCCTCAGGATCCTGTCATTCCCTCCTGGCCGCCCCCTGGTGCTGCCCGCTTTGCCCAGGACACCTGTGGTGGCCGGAGATGCTGGTCAAGGCCCCGTTGGGCCTGAGGCTTGTAACATCATGGACCAGGTCAGGTCAGAAGGGGGACGACCACAGCCCTCCCAGACTCAGACCATTGTCCTGACTCAGGCCCCCCTCAACGGGAGTGCTCCAGGTGCCATCTATGGGGGTGCTGTGTGTCCTGCACCCCTCTTCTTGGAAGCCACTGCGGTGGAGACGATTATGTCCTCCTCCGCATTTGGGGGCACCCAGGCCGGCAATGGAGGTTGGTGTCCCGGCCTTCCTCCTCAAGCTCCACCACCAGCTGCCCAGCTGGCCCCCATCATCCCCCGAGTGGACCCTGGACCACAGCCACATGGGGCTTCCAGGGAGGGTGGCCTGGCCGCCTCCCAGTCCAAGGCCTCGCTGGATGACGCCTGTAACCCCAAGAGTGTGTATGAGGACTTCCGTCGTTGGCAGTGCTTCAAGGCCCTGGCCCAGGGGCACCTTCCCCAGAGTCCTGATGTGGGAGCTCTTTGCTGCTTCCTCATGTGAGTGCATTGGGCAGGGCAGGGGCTGTGCCTGGAGCTTTCAGTCCTGCCGGGTGGGGTTGGGAACCTGGCACCACTGAGCTGGGGTGGGCAGGCGGGTGGAGGCCAGGCTGCAGCCATGACTGACCCTGAGCCATTACAGGCCAGCGCTCCGGTCCCTGTCCCGCCTGAGGCCCACCATGACGCTGGAGGAGGGAATAGGGCAGGCCATGCAGAAATGGCAGCGCAAGAGCAACTTTGACCGGAGGGTCTATTCTGAGATGGCAGAAAAGTGAGTCAGGGTCCTTGGTCCCCACAGCTGGGGGTGGGGGTGGGGAGCCTGACTGCGGGGCAGGGTCCAGCTGTGAGGTCTCATCAGAGAGGAGGGTGGTGGGAGGGTGTCACTCAGCACGGGGTCCCCGCAGCCCAGAGGCCCTTCTCTCCTGGGGAAGCCTCTCCCTCAGCTTCAGAGTGTGGGTGCTTCTGTCCCACCTCCCGGGAGCTCCCCCCTCCTCTGACGCTGACCTGTCCTGGGCTGGACATGAAGGCTCAGGACAGGCTGGGGAGAAGGTTCCCAGCCCCGTGGGCAGACTCCAGCCAGAGGGGCTGTGCAGGAATGTGCTCAGCCAGCCTCCTGCCTCCCTAGTGTCCAGGCCTTGACAGGCCCAAGACACTGGCTCTCCCATCCCTCCACCCACTGCTGCCTTTTTTGGCTCCCGGCGGCCTCCTTCTCAGCACAGCTGTGCCCCCCTCACCCCCAGGTTCATGGAGTTTGAGGTGGAGGAGCAGATGCAGTTTGAGAAGTTGCAGTTGAAGAAGGGGGCGCACACCCAGCCTCCTGCTGCCCCACCGAGACCTGATTCTCGGGGGCCCCCAGCCCCAGTGGTGGGCAGGCAGCCAGGTAGGCCAGCACATTCCCACGGGAGCCCATGGCCAAAGGCAACAGGGCCTAGGGCAGGCCACTGTCCCCACCCACATGGGCCCTTCTCCTTCAGGGGGGCTTTGTTCTTTCAAGGGAAACAGCCCTGAGAGCAGGGTCTCTGAGCCTTTGTCCCCATTTGGTCTGGACCTGGTCCACTTTCTCATCCCCTCTCCCCGCTCCCTGTCAAAGGCCCCACATGAAGTCTGCTGAGAAGCAGGCTGGCTGCAGGGCCCCTTGTTGATTCGGTGGCTCCACACGTCCTCACACATGATTCTCTTGGGTGCTCCCCTCTGGCCTCTCCCCTCACATAGTCACAGGCTTCAGGTGGCCCGACCCAGCCACACCCATATTAATGCCCCAAACACTGCCCTCAGCAGCGCATGCCCTGGAGGTGGGAGCTTTATCCCCTCACGCTCCCTCCTCTTCCCTCTCTGCCCAGCGCGCACTACCAGGAAGGCTGTACCCAGCGCCCAGTGCGCCCACACACCCCAGCCGCCCTGGGAGACTGAGTCCCGCAATGGGACCCCCCCTGAGGCCGAGCAAGAGGACATGGACATCATGGATGAGCTGCCCATGGGGGCGCCAGGTGGAGGACGGGAAGATGAAGAAAAGGAGTGGCTGCAGGACGAGGGTCTCCTGAGCTACCTGGACCAGCTGTGCTCCCAGGAAGACTTTGTCACCCAGGTGGGCTGGCTGGCAGCTCCGGGTCTATACGGTCCCAGAGGGAGGCGCTGCGGCACCCAGACCCGGGTTCTCCCAGGCTGATGGGATTGGGCTCTGCTCTTT